GGCACCGCGCCGGGGCCCACGGCCGGCGGGCGACCCGGGGCCCCAGCCAGAGCGGTGCCGCCCCTGTTAGCACAGCCAGGAAGAGGGCAGAGCCTCCACGAGACAGATAGAGGATTGAGAGAGGCTTAAAAACGGTTTTTTTAAAGTAGAATATATACCTACTTTTTTATTCGACTGTTTTCAGTAGGGGCAGAAACTTATTATATTAGCAATTTTGAGCAATTAAAAAATTTTACTTGACATATAAACATTTTATAAGCATTCGGTTTTCACTTCCTCTGGTAGGATTTTTTTAGAAGCACAATTGGAAACCTTAGACAAACTCTTTAGCTGGCCCTGTGGCTGGGTCTCTCAATTCAGCCTGTTGCTGAGTGCTGGCCGTAACAAAACGGACAGGGCTGAACTCGACCTGCCCCCCTCCGGCCGAGACCCTCACAGGCCGCTACAGGAACAAGAGAGAAGCACGGGACGCTGGGGTCACCCCGGACGGGCCAAAGATTCCTCAAATCTCAAACTTGGTTGTATTCATGAGTATATAAATGGCTGCAGATTTACACAATCGAAAAAAATTTCACTTTTGAAAGTCAGTGGGGCCTGACTTTTGTGGATAAGAGGGGTGAGATAAGGCAGGAGGTGGAATGTGATATCTTTGCCAATTCCCAGGAAGAATCCAAGTCTTAGCTTAGTTCTCAGAGCTTCAGGCACCAGCCATATGAGGAGAAAGGGGGCCAACTAACAATTTCCAGAAATCAGCATCCCAGGCCCTTTTTCTACATACTGCAATGTGAGCTAAGTCTGTCCCTGAACACAATTATTTGTAAAAGCAAGGAGTTCTTTTTAAATCATTAAAACAAAGTATAGGTGAAGGGTGGCTGGGTACATTTCTCTCTGGACTCGGCTTTGATGGGCTCGACTTTTAGAGGAAACAGTATGTTAAGACTTCACTCTATCTTAATTTTATGGTTGAAGTTTAAGATTTGATTTGGTTTTAGAAAGATCAACTAGTCATGTGAAGTCAGTCTCTTTGCTCTTCTGTGACACCCCAGCCAAGCCAGGAAGTCGCCTCTGTCTATCCGTGACCCCTGGGCTCCAGCTGCCACAGAACTACCAGCCCTTGCCTTGGTTTGATCTGGACAGAGGGTCCAGATCAAACTTGTACTTTCAACTTGTACTAAATATTGACAGAAGCTGTGCATGCAACACACATCACTGAGCAAAATCCAGATTTTCTAAATAAGAAATTCAAAATTGAAATCAATAGCTGTGGATAGTTCTGTACAGTTTGGTAATTTTAATTCTCAGTTCAACCTCTGGGGAAAAAAAAAGTATCTAGAATACATTCTTGTCCAGAAAACAGAAGGTTCACAGCTACCTTTTGTTGCCTTCAGATCAACAGCAAGTCCATAAATTAAAAAGGAAAGTTGCCTTTCAAACCAGTGATTTAGGTAATTGTTTCAATCATCGCCACTGTTGTGTAACATTTTCCAGCCATGCCTCAGATATGCATATTGCAAACATCAGAGGAGAGGTGAGAAGGGTGAACTCTTTGCATGGGGAAAATATCACAATTAATTGTATCATTAGTTTAACCGAACTTAGTTTGTTAAAAGGTAGCAAATTCCCAGTAGAAGAAGAAATTAGCTTTACGAAATTCTAGGATCTAGACAGGGACGTTTTATTTGTATTTTTTCTCTGAAGGGAACATTCAACCATTTAAAAAGTCCTCATGGAGGACGAGCCCTGCTCCAGGCACGAGCTCCCTGGAGGCAGCTGTGAGCACCTCCCTCTCCCCCACAGCACTAGTGGCTGTCCCAGCACTGGGCGGTGCTCTGGCGAGGCTGATCCACGCGTGGTTCTCGGGGGACCTGAGCCGGCGCCCCCCCACGTCCCCCACCGTCCCCAGGAGCGCCCCGAACAGCGCCCAGCGCGGGAGGTACCAGAACATATTGGCCCCAATGATTTATAAGCTACATTTAAAATAAAGATCAAGCGATTCTTTCTTCATGTTGTGTTTATTGCTTTAGCAAGTGTATATCATTTAAAAGTGACAATATTTTCTCGTATAAGTTTAAAATGAAATATGACTAGGCAAATTAGAGGGTGGTGATCAGTAAGAGGAGACACTGTTTCAATGAATAACAATTTATGGGACAGAATTTTGTTCTTTTGTGTGTGTGTGTGAGGAAGATCAGCCCTGAGCTAACATCCATGCCAATCCTCCTCTTTTTGCTGAGGAAGACCAGCCCTGAGCTAACACCTATTACCAATCCTCTTCCTTTTTTTCCCTTTTTTTCTCCCCAAAGCCCCAGTAGATAGTTGTATGTCATAGTTGCACATCCTTCTAGTTGGTGTATGTGGGATGCCGCCTCAGCATGGCTGGACAAGCAGTGTGTTGGTGTGCGCCCGGGATCTGAACCCGGGCCGCCAGCAGTGGAGTGCGTGCACTTAACTGCTAAGCCACGGGGCCAGCCCTGAAAGGGGGTTTTAGAGTTATCCATGCATTTTGTTTGTTCTTGCTCTCCAGGCACCCCAGCCCCAAACACACAGCTGAGTAGTTATACAAAAACTTTTGAATTGTCAGCAAAACTGAAATTATTATCCTTTTCCTTTCCTAGACAGACACAGGGAACACGCCAGGCCTAATTCATGGTTTTGAAGGTTGCAGGGAGATAGCTGCAGATCTTTTATGCAATGCAGAAGGGGATCATAGATGAACATAGGTTTGCTAAAACCGAAATCACGTAAGGGGTCCAAAGCTATACAACACACGTTGGCTGCTTACTAAACAAAAATGTAAGTAAATTTCTAATATGAATCAAGCTTTGCCCCTCTCCTCCCTCATCTCCATGAAGAAACAGGTTTCTCTCCTCATCTAAATGCTAGATTTTAAGGACAACTAAAATTCTGTTATTTCTAGGCTGCTACTCGCCCACAACTCCGAAGTATGCCCACAACTCCTCCTAAGTTACACATGACGTTTCTATACATGATTTGTTACTAAAGTTTGTTACTGGCCTAGGTAATTTTTAGCAAACTGATTCATAAGGAAATAATATGGTAGGGGTTATTTTTTAAAGAACAAACATTTTTTATTGAATATTTAATGATGTGCCAGGTGCTGGTACACTGATAAAAATATAAATGTCTGATAAAAATAGAGTGACCTTTTAAGTAAATTTAAAATCATCCCACAGTCTGACAACTGAGGTCTGAGAAATAACAAAGCCAAGCGAGCTCCAGGCGCTTCCAGAGCCCCAGCGCCAGCCCTCCAGGTCACACAGCAAGGAACAATCCAGAGGTTCACCTTTTCCACCTCCTCCGTGTCCACTGTAGGTTAGCCTGGCCCTGCTCCACTCAAGGCCCTGGACACCCAGAGCAGCTTCGGTCTGGAACACTGCAGGCCACAGTGTCAGAGGGAACATACAGCCCTGATCGTTAGCCAAAGCCAGGCATATGAGGTGGGGAAGGATAGTCCTTTCCCAGAGAGAGGGGGTTAATTTTTTTAAAGTTATTTTGAAATGATTGTAGATTCACAGGGAATTGCAAAAATACTACAGAGAGGTCTTGTGTCTCCTTTACCCAGCTACCCCAATGGTAACATCTTACATAACTATAGTGCACTGTCACAGCCAGGAAACGGACAGTGGGACCACCCACAGACCTCATGCCACATTCCCTGGTTTCACACGCACTCATCAGTGGGTGGGTGTGTATTCTGTTCTGTGCAACGCTATCACACGTGTAGATTTTTTCTGTTGGTTTTTTTTGTGAGGAAGATCAGCCCTGAGCTAACATCCATGCCAAGCCTCCTCTTTTTTGCTGAGGAAGACTGGCCTTGGGCTAACCCATCCATGCCCATCTTCCTCTACATTATGTGGGATGCTGCCACAGCATGGCCTGACAAGCCGTGCATGGGTGTGTGCCCAGGATCTGAACCGGGCCGCCAGCAGTGGAGGGCACGCACTTAACCGCTACACCACGGGCCGGCCCCCACATGTGTATATTTGTGTAACCACTGCACAATCAAGATACAGGCCAGTTCCGGCATCACAAAGATCTCTCTTTTATGGTCACACACACACCCCTACCCCCACCCTCACTAATCTGTTCTCCACTCAAGAATGCTGTTACATAAATGGAAATACACAGTATGTGACCTTTCGGGATTGGCTTTTTTTCACTCAGCAAATGCTCTTGAAATCCATCCAAGTTGTGGGTATCAACATTTTGTTCCTTTTGATTGCGGAGTAGTGTTCTGTGGTGTGGATGTATGATGAATATTTTTGAAGAATAATAAAGTCTAGCACACCCCTCACCTCCTTTTTGCTATGGGGTCTTGGTTTGCAGGTGCACTCCCATTTTCTCAGGTGGCTCGGAGCATTTGATGTGGCTGATGCTGAGGATGCTGGGGCTGGGCCATGCACAGAGGGCACCTGGGCTGCCTTCCTGTCATCCTTCCAAGAATGGAGGAGGAGGAAAAGTCCACGAGGCTCTCAGACACTAGTTGCTAGGATTATCAACTTTTTCATGGAGGCAAATCATGTCTCCTTGAGGGGCAGGAGCAGAGGAGGGCCCCTTGCAAGTCCTGCGACGCTCCAAGAGAGCCTCTGGGAAGAACCAGTAGTTCACTGGGCAGAATCAGAAGGACCCCATTTTAAGGGGCCGTATGGCCAGAGGCAGAGGCCAGGGTTCTGTCTATCTTAGGTCTTGGCCAAGCCACTAAGTGTTTGTACTTCAATTTTTACCTATGTTAGGTGAGGAGAGTAGATTAGATGGACTCTAAGATTTCTTCCAACTATAATTCCGTGGATTCAAGTTGGCAAAAGCATGCTGAGCTCTAGAGAGGCTCTCAATAAGGAAATCACAGTGAGACGTTGTGTCTTTATTGTGGAAATTAGGGCAGGGACAGCCCTAGTTTGGGGGGAAGGGGAGGAGGTTACACCTTTTCAACCCACTAAGAAAACAAAAAGAAGGAAATGTCACCAAGGTCCCTAACTGTGTTATATTACTATCTGCATTTAGATTTCACAGTCCAGCCCAGAATCATAATTCACATAACAGCGGAACTCATTTGCCAGGGTTCGGGTGTGTTCTGGAATAAACTTGCACATCTTCACTCCAAGAAGTTTTGCTGCCTCTTCTTCCATGACGGCCCCTGAAGAGAACAAACCAGATGAACTGGAAGACTGAAATACCACCCGTGCACCCGGGACCATCACAAGCCACAGAGGAATCTAGACTAGAACATGGGGAGCAATTGCTTGATAACCCTGAAACCGGGAAACAGTTAGCCATTGATGATTGAGCAGCTAGTAACAATGGGGGATCGGAATTGGCCACCTCAAAATATGTCTCTGCCTGAAAGACACTTTGGCTTCAACCCCCATTAACTGACCAAAAGAGGCTGGGGTGGGAGGCCTGCGCCCCCAGAACAGGCCACCACCATAGACATCTCCCAGTATCTGGGAGGGTCCGTGCTAAGTCCATTCTTAGTTCTGGTTACCCTTTGTAAGAGACATTTATGTTTGTAAAGGAAATCTCCATTTGTAAAGGTATCTTCTTCCCTGTACCAGGAAGAAGGAGGGGATGGCCCTACCTAGAAACTTATCAGAACAGAACGCGGAAGGCGAGGACTTAAATCTGCATGATAAACTTACCCACTGTTAACTGTGCTATTCAGGCAATACGCTATCTGACTCCCACTAGGTTCCTATAGGTAACATCCCCCTGGAGCTGGGGTCACCATGGTAATGGGTGTTTGAGCTATTTTTCAGGAGGTGAACCCCTTGTCCACTTCAGGCCTGATTGAGACCACCAACCCATCAACTGGGCCCACGTAGACATGTGTCCGATAAGTGATCTTTTCACGTCAAGAGGTTGGAACCCCACCCTCAGGACATGCTGACGCCGCCATTCTGTGAACATGTGTCCTACGAAGAGGCATGAAGTCTGACTACGCTTGCTCAGATCATCAATCACCTCATCTCTCCTCACCCCCAATCATTTCAGACCACCTTGCCCCCTGTGTCCCTATTTTCAGGGAAGCGGATTTGAGATTCATTTTCCCGTCTCCTCACTTGGCTGTCTTGTGATTAAACCCTCTCTCTCTGCAATCATGTCGTCTCGGTGACTGGCTTTCTGGGCGGCGGGCAAAAACGGACCTGGTGTGGTAACAACACTACTCAACAAACGAGGGGGTCAGTTCTTCATAGTCCGTTTTACTTTCTCCAACATTTTTGCAAATTACCTATTTTTTCCTTTTCTTTTTTATTTAATAATTTTCCTACCTCTGCAAAGCTGAGTCATTTAGAAATTTAGAAATAAATTATATTCCACAAAGTAACATAAGGAAAGCAAAAAGTTACTAAAAACTAGTGTTTTCCAACTTTAAGTCAAGAACCCCTTTTTCAGTGATATCTAAACTTGCAAATTCGTATGAACACACTCACATCAGCTTTGGGCTGACCAGCCCCAGTTTCTCCCTCCCGCCCAGTCCTCACCCCACTGCCTGTCTTGCACCACCGATGCTGCGGACTGTGGATGCCTCCAGGCGCCTCTCCCCGACGGGCCCCGCAGGAAGCGCTTCACCAGCCCACACATACCCACCAGGCCCCATACCCAGGCTCATCCTTGATTCTTCCCCTTCTTCACCCTCCACGTTCCGAGCATAGTAAGTTCTTCCAACTTTATCTCCACAGTATATCTTCACTCCACTCCCCGCCCTCCTGCCTACTGTCACAACCTTGTCCAGACCCCTGTCTCAGCGAGAGGCTGCGGCCACACCCGTGAGGGCCCGCGTCTACTCGCCCCATAAATCCCTTTGTGTACAAAGTTAAAGCAAACTTCTGTAGACAAACTGGATCCTGTCCCTTTGGGGCTGAACACTTGAAAAGAAAATCTCAACTCCGACCAGCGCCTGCAGGGGGCCCTCTGGCTCGTCACTGGGCTCCAGCCACATCACTCCCTGCCTCGGGCCTGCTGCTCCCCCTGGGGCCTCCCCTGGAGGGCTCCACTGAAATGCTGCTGCTCCAGGAGACCCCCCAGCCCATCTGAAGTACGCCTTCATGATCTTCTGTGCCAACCCCGCCTTTCTCTGATTCTTTCACTACACTTATCAGAAGTAGTAATTCATTTCTTCTGTTTTGTTACATATAATCTATCCCCTAAAACTAAAATGTATGCTCCATGAGGTCAGAACACCTGGCTGTCAGCTGGCACAAAGGGCTAGTAAACAACTGTTGAATTAATAAGCATTAAATCAAGATTATTGTGTGAACAAAAGTCTCATTCCCAACTAAGTAAGCAATTCTACACCCCACAGAAGATAGCTCCCGGCAGCGCTGGCCGCTCAGCCCCAGGTGCTTGGGGAGGAGCGGGGCCTGCGGGGCTGGGCTGCAGGAGGGCAACAGCACTGCTGGTCTGGGCTCCAGGCTTCCCAGGAGAGAGACCAGCGGTCAACGTTTTACTTCCTGGTCATATGTCAGTATATCCACCTTAAGAAAATACATCAATCTCACCAGCAAGAAAACTCTTCTGCTTTAATAAACCTAATCTAATGTCTAGCTCAGGAACCTTAAGCAATCCACTTAAACTCTATAGATTCCAAATTTCTCTTTTATCAAGTGTAGAGGTCGGATCAAACACTACTACTACTGATGATGATGATGATGATAAGTAAAAAGAACATTCATCGTGCACTCGCTATGTGCAGACCCCACTCTGTGTGTATCGTGTCACTTAATTCTCAACAACCTTGAAATGCAAGCAGTGTTATCAGTCCCAGTAAACTGGAAACCGGGCACAGAGAGGTTAAATAACTTGGTTTTTTTGTGTGTGTGTGAGGAAGATCAGCCCTGAGCTAATATCCATGCCCATCCTCCTCTTTCTGCTGAGGAAGACTGGCCCTGGGCTAACACCTGTGCCGATCTTCCTCTACTTTATATGGGAGGCCACCACAGCATGGCCTAATGAGCGGTGAATTGGTGTGCGCCCAGGATCTGAACCCGGGCCGCCAGCAGCAGAGTGCACACCCTTAACTGCTACGCCACCAGGCCGGCCCCTTAAATAACTTGTTTAAGGTCACACAGTGAGTGGTGGATTCAGGCTTTGAGTTCTAAGGTCTCTTCTAACTCTTGAAACCTAAGGCTTGAATATCCACTGTCACCAGCTTTTGTGAGCCATGCAATCTGGCACCTACCTGTGCACAGCAGAATCTTGCCCTGAGTCAGATATTTGATGGTTTCTGACGTTTTCCTGAGACATTCCTCAGAAAGATAGGGGGGATCTGCTATCACGATGTCAAAACTATGTGCAGCAACTTTTTCAGGTAAATCCAATGGATTATTGTAATCATAGAAGATAAACTCTTCGCCATATATGGCAAATCTTTTGTCATATTCAAAGATGTATACAGAAAAGTCTTCTCTATGCAGCTCTCTCAGTTTCTGGTAAACACTGGGGGCGCTCACACACGCTATTCTAGAAAACAAATTAACACATTCATGAAAGATCTTTAATGAACAGTTTATGGTGTTAAAAAGCAACAGCTTCACTAAAAAAATATAGGTCCTTGTGTTCAAATTTTCTTAAAGGAAATAATAGTGCAAACTAATGTAACAGCAGTAAATTTCAAGAGAAAACTTTATACTGCCTCACTTTTAAGGAATTTGGTATTTAAAAATCTGCAACTCATAATTTTAAGGTATGAAAGGATAAATGTGCTTTTTATAGTAAAAAATGTAAAGCAAAAAAATGTAAAAAAATACAGTAAAAAACGTAAAAAAGGAACACATTAGGATAAAAGTTAGATAGCCTGAGGCCTAAATTTATCCCTTATTTTCATGGTAGTCCTTTAACATTTATTTCAAATACTTTTAGTCTCAAACTAAATATTTTGAAATTATTTTGTAATAGTCATAGTCTTTAAAGAAAAATCTCAAATAACTGCCTAAATAACTCCAGTTTTCCAAAAAGATACATTAAAATTAGGTCTCAGGCAGACAAGCTACTTTGAATTTCTGCTTCTTTTTTGAATAGGGAAATTAAAGAATGTTTCATTACAAGCAGTCCCCAGTCTATGAATGGGTAGTGTTCCAACAGGTAACTTTTAAAACCAACTGCTAAAAAAGCTAGAAGTAACTTAAATATTGAACTATTGAGTTGAGGGTGGTACATTTATTACAATGGAATACTCTGTAGTCATTACTCTCCAAGATATTCAAGGAAAAGGAGTGTAAACTATGTTTTCGTGAGTACAAGAATATAAGCTCATAGACACACTTGCGATCTCTGGGAGATGCACAAGAGCCAGGGACCACGGTGCCTCATGGGCGTGGAACTGGGGAGACTTGCAGACAATGGAAAAAGAGACTGAATTTTTTTCTCAATCCCCTTTGTAACTTTTAGATTTTTATCATGTATGTATATTATCATTCAAAAAAGTACTTCTTTTAAAAATTAAACTCAGCTTTAAAACTGTGAGATGCATTTCTTAACAGAGACATGTTACATGCACTGCTTAGGTACCCATACCAGGCTAAAAAGGCTTCTCAGCCCAATACATTGGAAGTGTGTAATAAAGTCTGGTGACGGCATGTAATGCTTCTGCGGGAAACATGCACGTCCCACCCCGGGGTGGAAGGGGCACGACTCTCCCTGCTGCAGCTCTTCTTACCACCAGAGCCCAGCCAGGCTACTGCCAGAGCTCTGGGGAGCAGGAGGGGGCGGCAGAGGACATGGGACGAGACCTTCACTGTGCTGAAAGATAACAGGCAGCAACCAAGGACTGGATGCACAATGAAAAAATCTTCCAAGATAGAGGATAAAATAAAGATATTTTCAGACAAACAAAATCTGAGAGTTTGTCACTAGGAGACCTTCACCGTAAAATTCCAAAGGACGTACCTCAGGCAGAAGGGAAGTGGTCTGAGATGCAAGAAGGAATGAAGGCAGAGTGTGATGAACTCGGTGGAAATAATGTTGTTTATTACGTAGCAGTGGAATTAGAGGGCCTGGGTTGCAGCCCAGCTTTTCCACTCACCAGCTGGTGACCTCCTGCAAGTGACTTAATCTCTTGGGCCTCAGAGTCTATCTTTAGAATGAAGAGGATAATAGTAACCACCTCACAGAGGTGTGAGGATGAAAGGAGATGACCTCCGCAGAGGAGAGGGCAGTCAGTGAGTGCTCAGTAAATGCTACTGTGACTATTCCTCTTTACAAGTTTACAGAGCTCCTAAAAATACTCATGATGCCTTTCAGAAAAAATAAAAGGTTGCTTCCAAAGCCCTCATATTAATGGAAAAAAGAAAATATATGTAAAAACATCGTCATGAAGAAAAACCTAATAAACTGCATGTAACTTAAGAAGAAAAAGAATAGGGCCGGCCCTGTGGCTTGGTGGTTAAGTGCACGCGCTGCGATGCTGGTGGCCCGGGTTCGGATCCCGGGTGCGCATCGAGGC